CTTTCTCTGCAGATATTTATTTTTGGTATTAGGAATAATCATTTTTTACTAAACCATTAGTATTTCCCTCTTGGGATATGTGACTTGTGTCACTGGTCGAGTTAACTATTTTGCACACTCTGCTGCAAAGCACAGAGCCAAATCTGATTCCCAACAATGGCTAGTAGATTGGGCTCTATGGGTTCTATTTTTATATTAGCATCATTGCTATCTGTTTTTTATCTATGTTACATTTGGACATGATTTTCCTTTTTTATTTTTTACCTGTTTCTCTTTTATGTGTTGATAAATTGCGTTAAACCATTTTCAGAACAAGACAGTGAAGAGAAAAATTTATAATTCTCTTAGAACATTTAAACGTTTATCACAATTTTTTGGTATTATTGCCTACTCTTTCCCTCTGATTTTTTTCCCCTTCTCTGATGTTTACTGAAGTGGCTACCACCAGTTGATTTCCTTGGCTTGAGAGTCTTGGTATCTCCGCCACCGTGGTTATCTCTGGCTCTGCATACTACGTCAGCTTTTCTGATGTTGGAAAGCAGGTTTATTGGGTCAGGGTAACTTTAAGATTGCTCATAGTTTTTATTGATTTAGGTGTTTTCTTCTCAATTTCAGACATTTTTATTGTTAGTGGGTTTAATTAGGTGAGAGTGCCCTGGTGGTATCCGTCTTCCCTCCCTTCCTGAAGAGCTACTGTGAGTTTTATGCAGCAACCACATGTAAAGCATGAAGATTAAGATTAAGATTAAGACAGATTATATCAGTCAAGGCCCAGCCAGGACCACAGAAACGCCTGTACGCATTAAAACAGAAGCAATCGAAATGCTGAGGGCTGAATAGGGAATTGTGAGTCACCCACAGATGAGGCTGGAAGGGGCAAAGGTAGGAGCCCCAAACCCAGAACCCAGGGGTCAGGGCCACTCAGTAGAGGGTAGAACCACAGCTAGTTTCTCTGCAGGATCTGGTGACTTGGAGGAGATGGGGTGGTGGAGAGTCACAAGCCACCGAGAGAGCCGTGAGGCAATGCCCTGGCTTCTCTGTTCTCTCCAGACTCCCGGGTCCTGCTGGGGCTTCTCATTGGCTGACTGTAGACAAAAGCCCATTGACATTAGGGCTTGGGAAGCCCATCTGAGGGCTCAGGTCCCTGCTATCCAGAGCAGACCCAGGTAAGGGAAAGGAACGGGTCTGAGAACAAAGAGGCCAAGGCCCTGCCTGTAAGGACTTTTTCCCCCTATTTGTTTGATATGCACAGTTACCTGGGTGGGTGCAAGGTAGGCCTGACAGCTTTAGAGAACTAATCATGCTTACAAGTGTAATTAAAATAAAAACACTAAACTGTACACTGACGGAATCCAACAAATTCTGATTTTCCCATGAGGACTTTGTAATGCCTTTTAAGGAAATATCAAGTGTGAAATGTTTCCTACATCTCTTTCGATGATGCAACTCTGCTGGAGCTTGGCACTTGCTGCATCTGCCTCTTAGGTAATCCTGGCCGCGTGGGTGTGGGTTTGGGAGTGGCTGGCATGTAGCTGGGGCTGTGCTGAAAACGCCACTGCCTGCAGCACCCCACCCACCACCGAGCCTCAGGATACCCTGGAGTGGGCAGAGCCCACGTGCAAGCTGGTGACTCAGGGCTGGGGAACGTATGAGATCGGGACCAGCAGCCGTGGGTTCTGGGCTGTGAGATGCACTGTGGACCTGTACTTGAGAGGCGTGAAGACAACAGAGCCACCTGCTCAAGCCTCAGAGAGAGGAGCAGAGGGGGCTGGTGGGAAGGGGAAGCAGAGAGTGAGGGAGTAAGAAGGTAAGGCCACCGCCTCCAGTTCTCCTGTCTTTTTAAGTATAACAAAATTTTTGCATTCAAAAGGGAGGGTGGCCCTGTTACTCTCACTTGCTCTGCCATGGAGGTGGGAATTTTCCTGGGCCCTAGGAGTAGGTGAGGTAGCACCAGTGACCCTGGACTTCCACCAACAAAAGCGCTAAGAGCTACCTTAGGTTGACTAGCTGGGGACCTTGTGGGAGCTAGTGATTCGATTCAGCCCAAGGGGAGGGTGTGACCTCAGAGAGGTGAGAGCGGCTGACTCCATGAGTTGGTCATTTCTTCAAGAAACTAACTATGAGTTTTGCATCATTGAGTAACCCAAGGTGAGTCAAGGGCATCGGATCATAGTCCTGAGGTCGTGGTTCTAGCCTGGTTTTGAGTCTGACCAAAGAGGCTAACCTTGTTCGAATCACCTACTTTCGGACTTTGGTTTCTTCAACTGTAATTGGAGGGAGTTAGACTAGGTCAGTAGGTCATGATGAACACTAGGTTATAAAATCAGTTGTGGCAGGGAGGGGGTTGCCACCGACACTTTAAAAAATGAAATAGAATTGAAAACATCCCAGTGCGTAGTGGGTAGTAAGGCTAAGTTTTATTTTGTGAGATTTTTGTTTCTGATATAAATATGGGTAGTAACTCTGGGCTGAAATGTAAAACATATTTCTCATTGTGAGTTTCAGCCAAAAACTTAAAAGAAGACTGAAATAGATGAAGTTCCTTTAGCAACCGTATCTGATATTTCCAGGTTAGTTATCAAATGCCTCAAGTCCAAAAAATTTTATACCACTTCCCCTACCCCATGTACTTTAAAAAGTTTTCCGGGACTTTTTATTCGTTTTGAGAACTATTGGTTTGGGAAGTCAAGAAGAGACATAACAGCAAGAGTAGGAATGGAAGGAGGAATAAAAAAACAAAAAAAGAAGCAAGGATGTGGCTCTGATCTGTGGAGAACACGAGGGCCTGGTGTTTATTCCTTCTGCAGATATGCTCGAGCATGGCCCTGCAAGGCCAGAAGCTGTATCTTTCCAGGGCCTTCCTGCTCCTGTGCCTCCCAGGTGAGTGGGACCTCAGACTCAGGGAATGTCTTGTCTGCTGAGCTGATGGGAAGAAGGAAGATCTGTCTAGAGAGACCTGTAAAGGAGGTATAGGGTCCTGGGGGAGTCTTTCTAGAAGACTCCAAGTGTGTCCTACCTTTATTTTCTCACATGTCCTCCCTTATGGATGGAGAAGGGTAGAATTATCCTTGGGATAATTGTCCCACAAATCCACCTTTTCCTGATTCGAGGCATAAACTACTATTGGAAAAGGGGCTTCCAGGTGTGGAATTGTGCGCTGTCCTTGTCAGGGTGAGAAAGGGCTTGGTTTAAGGCTAGCACAAAGTTCTCTTCAGCCTTTGCCCAGTGCCTCTTATTAATCCCTGTCCCACCAACATCACTGCTTCCGCCAAGCTCCCCCGGCTAGAGGAGAAGCATCCTCCACCCCTCACACATCCCTCCGAAATCTGGAGAAGACTAGAGTACCCAATGCTGGGTCCTTGCTCAGAGACAAGATGTCTCAGCTTCAGTCCTGTAGCTTGGGAGAAAGCCTCTTTCCTTCCCTCCCTCTTTCACTCTGTCTCTACTTGACTTAAAGATGTTTCACTCTAAGGACTTTATGCAGAAAGCACACTATATGCCAGTTCCAAATGCCACCTACCCAATGTGTGTTAACTTGGGCAATTGGATGCTTTTGTTAAGTGGAATTAATGACGTCTGGTCATGGTGGGGACATCACAGGTATGTTCTCCAGGGGGCTGCTCTGAGGATTAAACCCATCAACACGTGTAAAGAGCGCAGAACAGTGCCCTGTCCCTCCTAAGCCCTAAGTCAGTGTCAGCTGTTGTAAGGATCATGGTGCTGGTCCAGGGGCTGGACGCTCGCTTAACTTTCTCTCATCCCCCTCTGAATGGTGGGGAGTCGAGGGGGGCCCGTAGAGGAGTGAAAATCACCAAGAAAGGTGGCTCACACTGACATCACCTGCAGAGACCCAGGAAGGTCAAAATAGCTTGGGGAAAGAGGGGAGCGTGGAGAAAGGGTTTGCAACAAGGGTGAGTATGTGTGTCTATGCGGGCAGTTAATGTGCTATACGGGGAGGATTTTCTGTTCTCCAAGAGAAGCGACAGAAGAGTTGTTTTGCTCACAGAACCATAGGGAAGTGCAGCTGCCCACGTGGCCTGTGTTTGCACGACTATCTGTGTTTCCTGTAGAGGGGTGAGCATGTGAGGACACGGGGGGACACCCAGGGATGGGAGGGTAGTCTATTTGTCCATTGCAGGTCATGGTGAGGGGTGGCATTGGGGACCCGGATTCCCAGGACACACTGGCTGAGGGTGTGTGGATGTGTTTTTCAGGCTATTTCACGTTGAGCATCCCCAGGGTGTTACAAGGTGCGGTGGGAGGGACGCTGTTGGTGACATGCCGGTACAGTGCAGGAGAGGAAGGCCACAGGAAGTTCTGGTGCCGAGGGGCCAACTGGAAGGACTGTGTTCGGGTCATTGAGACGACACAGGCAGAGAAGGAGGTGAGGCACGGCCGAGTGACCCTCAGAGACAGCCCCACAGAGCACCGTTTCCTCGTGACCGTGGAGAACGTGGAGAAGGGAGATGCGGACACTTACTGGTGTGGGGTAGACAGGCCCACAAGTGGCCCCCAGGACCCGGTGGCAGTGAGTGTTTTTCCAGGTAATCTCTCCCCACTCCCTTTGCCTGGCGTGGGCCAGGGTTTCTCTTGCTGAGGGGTGGAGGATGGGTCCAGCCCGGGCCCCAGGACTGGCTGCCCAGGGGGCGAGGAACACACCTGAGCTCACGCACGTGCGTGTGGAAGAGTGTGCATCCGTGTCTGCCTGTAGGTGTGGACAGGTGGGCCCTGGAGTCAGGCTGCCGGGCTCAAATCTCAGCTCTGCCACTTGCTGGCTGTGAGAGCTCGGGCAAGTTACTTAACCTGCTCGTGCCTCAGTTTCCCTAGTAGTAAAATGGGAGTAATAAGAGTACTTGCCTCACAGGGTGGTTGTGTCAAACGAGCTGACAGGTGTAAAGCACTGATACCTACAGTGGCTGGCAGGCGGCGACGACTTACTGGCTGGAAGCTACTGGTGCTGTCGTCAGGGCCATGTCAAAGCGGCGGCTCTCTTTCTCAGATCTCTAGGCTCCAGGGGAGAAAACTTATCTTGTATCCAGGCTCTAGATTGTCCCCTTGGTTCTTGCTGTCATTTATTAAAGACCTTCATTGCATGTCTGTTATGGACCGGGTCTGGTGACACAAGGTGGGGTGGGCAGTAGACAGTCCCAGGCCCTGCCCCCATGAGGCTCCCAGCTGAGGGGGTGTGGAGGAGGGCTGGCTGATGTGCTTCCCGAGTGGAGGGTGGGAGAGAAGGGCACAGAGCACAGAGGCGCTTGGGAACGCTGGCCGGTGGGAGAGCCCATCACAGACCTGCAGTCGCTCACATCTGTACAGATGGTGACCAGTGCAATGCAGGAGTTAGGGGGGCCTGAGGCAGGGACTACGTGGTGTTATTGTGGGGGCTACTGTAGGTTCAGGGCACACAGGAGTGCCTTTGGAGGAGGTGGCATTTAAGCTGTGTCACCTCCCCTTGACCCCACGGCTTCCCCTGGGTCACCCAGTCCTTCCCTCTTGGTCCTTCTTAGCCCAACATTAGCACATCTGTGTGTAATTAGTTTCCTTACTCTGGTCCCCACTGGACAGGCCATGCTCAAATCCACACAAGCGCTTCTGCCTGAACTGTGTCTATGTGTGAGGGACAGAGGTGGGTCTGGTCCCACCCTGGGATGCTCACTGGGCTTCCACAGTTCCGACAGGGCCAGGAATGTGCCAGCACCTCTTCCCAAAGGGCCTTTTGGGGTGCTTCCTGCAGGGCTAACTGAAGCCCCTGAGTTTCCCTCTTCCCAGCAGCCCCTTGCTGAGGAGACATCACTCTGTGCCTGGTGTGTCCTGGGTCCAATGTGGCTGGGGACTCCAGAGGGAGCAAGGTGGGCTTCTCCTGGCAGACTTGGCCACTTTTCCAACCTCCCAAGGACCCTCTTCTCTCTGCACTGACCTTCCCCGCCTTGGGTCCCTGCAGTTTCACGACAGCTGCAGATCCTGAGCCATTTCAGGCTGGGGCAGAGAGTGACTTGTGACCTTGTCTGCAGGCTCAGGGACAGTTGCAGTGAGCACTTCTGAGACGTCGGCCAGCACAAGAGCCCTGGCCATGACCAGCCACATTCCCAGCCCTGGCCTCCCTGCCTGGTGAGCAAAGCCCAGCCCCAGCAGGGGTTCCCACTGTCCTGGGCTTGCCAGTCTCCTGATGGCGATGTTGAAGCTAGGGAAACCCCTGGCCCCAGTGTGATACCTTAGTACCTGCTTCAGGTCCCAGCTAGAGCCCAAGGCCCCCTGTACCTGACCCCTGTCTCAGTTCTCTGCTCTGTTTCCTGTTTCTATGTGTGAGATGCTAGTGTCCAATGTTTGGGTTCCTATCCCAGCTCTACTTTTTACTAGCAGTGTGGTGAGACTGGGCAAGCTACTTCATTTCTCTGTGCCTCAGTTTCCTCATCTATAAAATGAGGATTATTCTAGCTACTATGGCTGTTTTAAGGCAAAATTTGGTAGCATAATGTAATTATTTATTATGTTCATAAATTCTGTGGGTCAGGAATTTGGACAGGGTATGGCAGGGGCAATTTGTCTCTGCTGCGGGATGACTGGAGCCTTAGCTGGAAGACTCACATGCTGGGAGCTGGAATCACCAAAAAGCTTTCACTTATTTGCCTGGTGCTCACCCATCTGCGTCAGCTGGGGCTGTGGGCTGGAACGGCCGCATGTGGTTGGGCTTCCTCACAGTATGGCGGCTGGGTTCATGAGCAAGTGTCCCGAGAGAGAGCCAGGCGGGGGCTATGTGCCTCGGTGACTACACAGCATCACCTCCAGCATATTCTATTAATCAAAGGAGTCACAAGACTGCCCAGGTTCAAGAGGAGAGGAAATACACTTTCCCTCTTATTAGGGCTATGACAAGCTTTGGGAAGAGCACATGAGACCAGAAATTCTGCTGTGGACATTTTTGAAAAATTCAATCTGCCACAAGCATAACAGCAGCACTGCCTTGTAGGGCCATTGTGGGGAACACATGAGATGGCCTCAGCAGTGTGATGTCCAGTGCTGGTGCGCGTGAGCCTGGCCCACTGCGAGCCATCCTTTCTCCTGCTCTCCCTCTCTCTGTGGCTCACCTCTGGGGAACAACTTATCAGAAACAGCATGGGGGGCTGATGATGGTCTGTGACTCATGTCCTGAGTTTAGGGCCCAAGGGTGGGAAACACAGGGGTTGTCTGTCTGTCTGTGTCATTGCTGCTTTCTGTCTGACTCCTGTTTCCTCAACCAGGCCCCTCCTGATCTCTGCAAGCTTCCTGTTCCTGGTCCTGATGAAGGTGGTCCTCCTTCTGGGCTTCAGCTATGCTGTGATCTGGTTGGCTTGGCTTCAGCGTCACCTCTGAGGGGTGGTGGTCAGCTGTCCCTGAGAAACTGTGACTCCCACTCCAGCTGCCCCTGTCTGGTGACAGTAGCTGGCTTCTCAACTCTGACCCTCTCCCTGGGATGTGAAACCATCAGTGCTTGGCCCTGTGAGAGACTTTTGCACCCAGGAGCTGAGTCTTCTTTGCCAAACACTCTCCTGGGGTGGCCTGGCAGAGTGGACATGGTGCAAGGACATAGGCTGTGGAGTTGGATGGGTGAGTGTGCAAACCCAGTGCTGCCACTTCTTAGCATGAGGCCCAGGAGAGACTGTTTGGTGGCTTTCGTCTTCTGTTTCTTGGATTTGTATATAATGGGGACAATACATGGAGGGCACTGGCCATGTAGGAGGGACCCTCAAATGGAGCCGCCCTTGCAATTACTGGCTTGGGTCCAGGGCAGCAGGGAGGAGGGGTGGGCAGGTGGGAGACCTGGGATGAGTGAGCCAGACCTCTGGGGACTCCTGCTTGATCCAGGGCAGGATGGGGGAAGGTGGTGTTAGTCCCTGGAGAGCCATACCCAGGTCTCTCTGAACGCACAGTGGCCAACACACACAGTAATAGGTGAGGAGAGGAAGGATGGAGGTCTTGCCTCAAAGGGCAGCTGGGAGCTCCACCTTATATGCATAACTGCTGGAAGGAAGGTTTCCTGGTGACAAGCTGCAAACAGAGCTGGGCTCAGCTCCTTCTGGAGGGCAATGGCCAGGCATGAAGGGACCCAGCTCCAGACTGAACCCTCCAATGCCTGCGTCTCTGTGTCCCTCTGTCCTCCGTACTCAGCGGCCTCTGCCCCTGGGGAGGAGTTGCTTTCTCCTTCCTAATTCAGCCCTGATGCCCTGGGTACAGAGGTGACAACTCATCTGCTCCATTTTGCGACCCCCTCTCCCCATCCCCTGGACTTCTATGACCTCCAGAAGAGTCACACATGCCTTCTATGTCTTCATCCAAGTTACCTGTAAAAATATGGAGCAGGTGAGACTCAGGGTGGAGTTTTTGGGTATCCAATTGCAGACTGCCTCTTAGGTGACATGGCCACTTTTGTCTAGGCCCCCTGACACTGCCCAGGACAGGTGACACAGGCTATTAGTTTGTTAGTCACCACTTCACTTCCAGTTGAAGAAAGACATTCTCACACCTTTTTATGAGTTCATTAGCCAGACAATGAGCCACTCCACTCCCAGCAGAGTAAGTGGCTTTCTTTCCCTCCACATGTTGAGGGACCTACAAAGGGACCCAGTCAGAGTGGAGGCGAATGAGCCTGGGCTGGACTAGAGGTTCACTCGCAATGAATAGAATATGGCAGAGAAATGGCATGCCACTTCCCCCGTTAGATTACAGAATGACTCTGGCTTCTGTCCGGCTGGCTCTCGCTTGCTTGCTGTGACAGAAGCCAGATGGCATTTGTGAGCTGCCCTACAGAGAGGCGCATGTGGTAGAACTGGAGTGTCTCCCAAAAGGCACGTAGGTTTCTTTCTTTTCTTTTCCTTTTTTTTTTTCCCCAAAGGAAATCTTAATAAAACAACGACAAGGCATGTCATGCTTGCTGTGGCTTCATTCTTCCCTTGCTCAGAACTGCCTGGCTTGTTGGCAGGTATCTAATGTTTTTTTTTTTTTGAAGCTGAGCTTTCTGAGTTTTCTCCTACTTTTGGGTCACCTATTGCTGAGTGAGAGGCGGTGGGGAAGGGATCCAGATACCTGTCGTTTGGCAAAGTGGCCAGTCCCCTGCCCACACCCCTCCACTTCCTCAGCTGATTCTCTTGAAAGTGCTGGTCTCCCTGAGCCTATGTTCTGTGCTCCGCATGGACACGTGGGACAGGAGGCAGAGGAGACCCGCCCTTCCATCACTGCGCATCTCTTCTTGCCCAGGAGGCTGCCCTAGACACTCAGGGCTCATCTTTTTTAATATACAGCTTTTTGAGATAGAGGTCAACTATCATACAATTCACCCTTTTGAAGCATACTATTCAATAGTTTTTAGTATATTCACAGGTAGGTGCAACCATCACCATGTTCAATTTTTGAGCATTTTCCTTACCTCAAAAAGAAACCCCATAAGTTTTTGCTATCACCCCTGTAGTGAATTGAATTATGTCCCCCAAAACTCCTTGAAGCTTGAATTGTGCCCCCCAAGTTTTATGTATTTGAAACTTAGCTCCCACTGTG